TGTCACTCCTCGGCAGCTTCCTCCTCCATGCCCACAAGTGATTCCACTTTGACAAGTGCGGGGAGGCATTTGAGGTTGGAACAAGTGGCACAGAGCTTAGAGTTGAGTTTTCTGAAATCTTTAAGGGCGTGTAGGTTTCCCAGACGTCCTTGTCTCTTCCCACAGTGCCCAGGGCATTGATTTCCACATGGATGGTGATTTTCCTGGAGTGCTTCAAACAAGGACATGTTTTCCCAAGTATGATCTCCTGTCTCTGACAAATGCGTGGTGGGGTGGTCACCGCTTTACAGAGGAGAAGACAAAGGTGCCCAAGGATGGCATGCATGTCTGTGATCCTGCAGTCAGCGTGGTGTGAGTGAGGCTCTGGGACTCACACCCTGGCAGGTGCATCATCTCCCCCAACCCCAAGCCCTCACCCTCCCGCTGCCTGCGCTGGCCCCGCCCCCAGGCCCTCACCTGGATGATGGACTGCAGTTCCTGGTTTTTGGTCTTCAGCATTTCATTCTCCCGCTCCAGTTCCAGAACCTGCTCCTTCTTGGGCCGATTTTCAATGTCATTCTTCAGTTTCAGAGACTGATTTCTCTCCAGCTTACATTCCTCCTCCATCTTATTCAACCGGTGCTTTAGCTGATCGATCTGAAACACCCCAAGGGTGCCGAGGGGAGAAGGCAGGTGGCAAGAAACACTCAGAAAAGGCAACGCTACCCCAGATTCCACTGGGCTGGCAGCATAACCTGAGTTATGCCCCTCCTTCTTTCAGGGGCAGAGAAGGGCTTCAAGAAACCTTCTCCAGTAAAACAAACCATCATCTCCCTATTGATGGAGAGTTCCTGATTAGTCTATTTAGAAATAGCTCTAAAGGGGCTACAGACCTCAGAGAAAATTCCCTCAACCTTTGTCGGGTGGAACAGGTTATGGATTTTGGGATAAAAGAGATCCAAGTTGGTGTTTCTCACGTCAACACCCTTCTCTGATGGGTTTTTCAAATTCTGATCCTCAGAACTCAAGGATTCCCCTGAAGAATCCTAGGGTTATCCAGGGGGAAGGAGGAGATGGTTGAGAAATCGGGGTTCTCGGCGTCCACCCTGACTTCACGTCCCAGAACAGCTCTGCTTGTGTGGTTTGTTCTTTGGGGTTTCATACAGATTTTATTTGGATAAATAGCACTGTTGCTAAAAAGGAAGAGGAGGAGGAGGAGGAAGAGGAAAAAGAAAGAAAAAGCAGGAGAAGGAGGAGAAGAAGAAAAGTAGAGGAAGAAGAGGAAGAAGAAGAGGAAGCAGAAGAAGAGAAAGGAGAAGAAGAGGAAGAGGAGGAAGGAGAGGAAGAGGAAGAAGAGGAAGAAGAGGGGGAGGAGAAGAAAGAAGAGGAGGATGAGAGGAGGAGGAGGAAGGAGCAGAGGAAGAGGAAGAGAAAGAGAAAGAAGATGAAGGAGGAGGAGAAGGAGGAGGAGATGGAGAAGAAGAAGAAATAAGAAGGTGGAGGAGAAGAAAGAAGAGGAGGAAGAAGAAGGAGAATAAGGGGGAGTAGGGGAGGAGGAGGAGAAGGAGAAGAGAAAGAAGAAGGAGAAGGAGGAGAAGGAGAAGAAGGAGAAGGAGAAGAAGAAGGAGGAGGAGGAGGACAGCCTGAAATCAACTGAATTGTAATTTAAGAGGATCTCCGGCCTAAAGAACTTCCCTAGACCTAGTGGCAGAAAGAGTGACTGAAGAAGAAGATAGCCTGAAATCCACTTAATTGTAATTTCACAGGATCTCCGGCCTAAAGAACTTCCCTAGACTTAGTGGCAGAAAGAGTGGCTTCCTGGAGGAGGCAGCTATTGCATCTAGAAATGAGACAAGTAGAGATGTGCTGATTTTCACACTCAAGAGTTTAGTGTCAGGAACTGGGACCAGCAGAAGACTTCTTCAACTTGTGAGACTAAACTGTGTGCCAAACACACTGGCTTGGCTAAAATATCCCAAATAAGAAGGTTGCATTCAAGGGCTATAAAGAAAGGAGGCACCAAAGCGGAGAGTGTCATTTTTTCAAACCTAGTCTTGGAGGGAGAATCGTCTCAAGGAATCTGGCAGGTAGAGAGCAGTGGCTTTAGTGAGAAAAGTCCAGCTCCTGCACCCCAGTGATTAACCTGAGACGATGAAGAAATGGGCGTGCAGGAAGCAGCCTGAGGCCAAGAAAACCAGCCAGGGACTCTGCTGGCCATATGTTCTTCCAAATTCTACTTATACTTTCCCACTATTAATATATCTCCAGGGAAACATAACACAGGAGAAAGTTCCAGGAGAGAAACTTGTAAGTCCCTGCTACAGGGACTAACTTCCTCAAATCCTAGGTAAAAACAGCATAGAAATCTCTCCTGCTTATGCAAAAAAAAAAAAAAAAAAAAAAAAAAAAAAAAAAAAAGAAAAAGAAAAAGGAAAAAAAGCTCCTCAGCATCTTCAAAGCTCAACTCAAGCGTCCCATGCTAAGTCCCAAGTCCCACACGAGCAGGCATGGGGTGCTAGCATTGCGGGGTGCTTACAGGGTCAGCCACTCTGCCCCAAGGCTTACGGTTCAGTATCCCAGCAATCCTAGGGCACAGCTATTACTTTCATTATTGCCATCTGCAAATGAGGAAACTGAAGCCAATAGCTAAGTAAGTAGTAAAGCATAAAGCCAGAATTTGAACTCAAAACTACAGGACTTACAAAGCTCATGCTCCTAACCAAAACACTATTGCCAGCTATGCCACTGACTCCATTCACCTGAATCCCGGTGGATTGTTTACAGATCTGTCTGCTTCATTAAACTGTAAGTGACCTAAGCACAGCTCACGTGATTTATCCCCGTGTCTCCCACAGCGCTTAGCACAGTGCCTCACACGTGGCAGGTGCTTAATAAATATTCTGTGAGTCTATTTCCCACCCAGCAGCCAGAGTGATCCTTCTCAGATATAAATCGTCACTCCTCAGCTCTCAATCCTTCAGAGGCTTCTCATCACAACTAGAATAAATCCCAAAGTTCTTACCATGGCCCCATGATCTGGACCCCGCCATCCCTTCCACTCCCTTCTGCACCATTTGTTTATTTGGCTCTGGCCCCACTGACTCTCCTGCTATTTCTTTTCTCTTTCATTTCCTTTCCTTTCCTTCCTTCCTTCCTTCCTTCCTTCCTTCCTTCCTTCCTTCCTTCCTTCCTTCCTCCCTTCCTTCCTTCCCTCCTTCCTTCCTCCATCTCCTTCCTTCTTTCCTTCCTCCCTCCCTCCTTCCCTCCCTCCCTCTCCTTCCTTTCTTCCTTCCTTCCTCTCTCCCTTCCACTCTCCCTCTCCTTCCTTCCTTCCTCCCTCCCTCTCTCCCTGCCTCTCCTTCCTTCCTTCCTTCCTCTCTCCCTTCTTCTCTCCCTTCCTCTCTCCCTTTCCTTCCTTCCTTCCTTCCTCCCTCCCTCTCCTTCCTTCCTCCCTCCCTCTCCTTCTTTCCTCCCTCCCTCCCCTTCCTTCCTCCCTCCCTCCCTCTCCTTCCTTCCTTCCTCCCTCCCTCCCTCCCTCCCTCCCTCCCTCCCTCCCTTCCTTCCTTCCTTCCTTCCTTCCTTCCTTCCTTCCTTCCTTCCTTCCTTCCCTCCCTGTCTCCCTCCCTCCCTCCCTCCTTCTTCTTCTCTCTCTCTCTTTCTCTCTCTCTCTCTCTTTCTCTCTCTCTCTCTTTTTCGACAGGCATGGCTCATTGCAGCTCGACCTTTGGACTCAGGCAATCATCCTGCCTTATCCCCCTGAACTACAGGCACATACCACCATGCCTGGCTTATTTCTGTAGAGATGCGGTTTTTGTCAGGTTACCCGTGCTGGTCTCAAACTCCTGGACTGAAGCAATCCTCCCACCTTGGCCTCCCAAAATGCTGGGATTACAGGTGTGAGCCACCAAGCCCAGCCTTCCTGCTATTTCTTCGAAAACAAAAACAGAAACAAAAAAACATGCCTCCTGCTTGTGGCCTTTGCAAGTGCTTTCCCCCTGAGACTTGCATGGATGGCTCCTTTCATCCCTTCAGATCTCTGTTCATGTGTCTCCTTCTCAGAGACCTTTCCTGGCCACCCTATTTAAAGTAGCAACCCTCATGTTCTGTCCTCACGCCCTGTCTTCTCTTCTTGAGAACACTCATTTCTACCAAGTATTTATGCATTTGTTTTCTGATTACAATGTTAGTTCCACCACAGCAGGGTTTTAGTCTTGAGCTATGTATCCCTGGAAAAGAGCCTGGGGGCCAGGCGTGGTGGCTTACACCTGTAATCCCAGCACTTTGGGAGGCCAAGGTGGGCAGGTTGCCTGAGTCCAGCCTGGGCAACATGGCAAAAAGCTGTCTCTACTAAAAATAGAAAAAGGGAGGCGGGTAGGAAAAAAATAGAAAAAAGGTAGCTGGCATAGCACGTACCTATAGTCCCAGCTACTTGGGAGGCTAAGTTGGGAGGATCACCTGAGCCTGCAAGGCCAAAGCTACAGTGAGCTGTGATCACACCACTACACTCCAGCTTGGGTGACAGAGTGAGACTCTGTCCAAAAAAACCCCAAAAAACAAAAAACAAAAAGCCTGGTACCTGGTGGCACTCAATAAACAGAAAGAATGAATGAGGCTGGGTGCAGTGGCTCATACCTGTAATCCCACCACTTTGGAAGGCCAAGGCAGGTGGATCACTTGAGCCCAGGAGTTGCAGACCAGCCTGGGCAAAATAGCGAGACCCCTTTTCTACAAAAAAAAATTGAAAGAATAGCCTGGTGTGATGGCGGGCACCTGTAGTCCCAGCTACTTTGGAGGCTGAGACAGGAGGATCGCTTGAGTCTAGGAGGTCAAGGGTGCAGTGAGCCAAGCCATGATCGCACCACTGCAGCCTGGGCAGTGGAAGACCCTGTCTCAAAAAAAAAAAAAGAAAGAAAAGAAAGAAAGAAAAGAAAGGAAGGAAGGAAGAAGGAAGAAAAGAGAGGAAGAGGAGGGAAAGAGGAAGGAAGGAAGGTGGGAAGAAGGAAGGAAAAGGAAAGGAAAGAAGGAAAAGAAAAAAAAGAAAGGAAAAGAAAAGAAAAAAGACAAAAGAAAGATGTAAATCTCCTTAATTCATTTGCGCAGTGCGCCATTCCAGGAGCCCCACCGGGTCTGAGTGCGCATGCACAAGGCGACTCTGGACCCAGAGGTGGAAAGCCGTACTGGGTCCGTCCTTGTGTGCATGTCTGCCCATGCGCATAGGGGATGTAGGCGCTGACCCGGTAGCGCTAAGCACTATGGGTACCGGCGCAGGCGCATGGTGGACGCAGGACCCCCAGAGGCTCTGTGTCCTCCATTCCCTCTCACCTGGCTGGCACGAAGTTCTGGGAGACCATGTGCATGTGCTTGTACCTGCTTTATGGGGGACCTGAGCCCTGGTGACATTTGTTTCCCCCAGAGTAGCCCTTGGACACCCCTCACCTCGAGTTGAAGGTCTCGGCTCCTCATGACCGCCATGTTCTTCTCCTCACTGAGCTGTGCGTAGCGCATGGCTAAGTTGTAGTTGTCGTCCTTCACCTTGACCAGCTCGTCATTGTAGCTGTCCCGCTCTTCCTTCATCTTGTAGTACCGCTCCTGGAAGGTCAGCAACTCCACGCGCGTCAGCGTCATCTGCTTTTTCTCATCCTCCAGCTGCCGCAACCTGGCCAGCAGCTCGCAGCGTTGCAGATCCTTGGCCTTCATCTGCTGCTGCAGCTTGATGACCTCGTTCATCAGGAAGTGCGTGAGGCCCTCGTGGCCCTCCTCCACTGTGGAGAGGGGGCACCCAGTCAGGCCTGAGGACTGGGAAGTGGAAAAAGGAGGTTCCAGACGCAGGGCAGGTGCCATTCATTCACTCACTCACTCACCAACGTTGTGCCGAGCTCTTTACTCACTCTGCCCACGAGCTACTGGGGATTCAGAGTGAGCAAGACTTACAGCTTTGGCCCCGGGAGAGCTTATGGTGTAATAAGAGAAACGCATTTTTAAAAAATCAAATGATCACCACAAACAGAATTACAGACCGTGAGGATTTCACAAAGTAAAGGTAGATGGAGCTATGAGAGTGTGTGGCAGAGGCCCAGATCCAGCCTCGTGGGCAGAGGGGGTTGGAGAAGGCTCCTGATGGTTGAGGTACAATGTTAAGTTCGGGAGGGAAGAGGCATTCTAGGAAAGGGGAACAACATTGCCAAGGCCATATGGGGAGAAGGGAGGAACCTGGCATATTTCAGGAACTGAACAAAGACCAAAGTGGCTTAAGGAGAGAGATAGAAGAGAAAGGTGAGGCTGGGGGTGTCAGCAGGGACTGGATCATGAAGGGTCCTTGTGGGCTGCATTAAAGACCTGGGTCTTTTTTATATTTTAAAACAGGGTCTCACTCTGTCACCCAGGCTGGAATGCAGGGGCATGATCATAGCTTATTGCAGCCTAAAACTCCTGGGTTCAAGCAATTCTGTGGCTGCAGCCTCCAAAAGTGTAGGAATTTCAGGCATGAGGCACTGTGCTTGGACAAGACCTGGGTCTTTACAAAGAAACAATGAAAAACCACCAGAGGGTTTTAAATAAGGGAGGAAGAATGGAGAAAGCACTGAAACAGATCGGGAATTGATATAGAGAGTTGATGGGGTTGTGAGAGTCTGGACTGTGGGAAGTGTTGGGGAGGGAGAGAAGACTGATTCAAGAATGTTATAGAAAGGAAGATTAAGAAAGCAAGATGCTCAAGGGCTCTGGCCTGTGAGACACTCCAAAGAATGCAGTCAAGGCAAGGACAAGATCTACTGGGTAGAATGAACTTGAGTTCCACTCGGCGCCATTCGTGGGGGATGGTCCGTGAACACCCACTTCTCTTGGCTCCTGCTTCACTTTGCCCCTGTTAACCTATCTTTCATCATCAAGCAAAATAAGTGGTTGACAGACCCCAGTTCTATATGTCATAGATTCACAGCTTTAGAACCATGCCACTACTGAGGACACACACACACACTCATACGCCCCTCCTATTAGAGTCCAGATGTTCCCAATGGCAAAAGCACTTACCCACAATAGTGGAGAATCTCCGGGTGGGCTCTTTCCCAGTCACCAGTTTGTACAGCTCGGGGTAATAAAATTCCAGGCTCTCCAAGAAGACCACATAGCCCCTTTGCCCCTTGGTATGTAGAATGTCCAACAGCCGGCCTAGGGGAAAGACCAGATCACTCTGTGAGAATACATACCTGATGGAACACAAGTCCCTGTGGCTGGTCTCATCCTGGACTTGTGTCCTTCAGTCAACTCTAAGAAGACAGTCTCCCCACATTCTATCACTTCTGAGTTGTATCTTGGAGCCCAGATGACGTAAATCAAAGTGCCAGGCCCCCCGCAGGGATTCGTTGAGCATTCGTTTTCTTTTTCTAATAAATTGGTAGAACCAGGATAAATGGAATTGCCGCCCCAGTTTTGAAGTTTCCCAACTGACCAGGGCCAAAATGAACCATGTAGGCACCAGGTCTTCTATGACTGAAGGAGGTTGGAAGCACGATAAAAATTATGGAATGATATATGGTTCTCTGGGATTGAGAGCAGGAAGATAAATATTTGGGTGAGGGGCTAGGAAAAATCATAGGAAGCAGGGATAGTTCTAGGCTTTTCTTTGGGATTATGACACAACCTGGAAACACCTTAAGTGTAATTTCCCCAGCAGGTCCCAGTTTCTATACTATTGATTCCGCTTATTGCTTACATTTCTGGGCCCTTCCTTCAACATTTTATTTTCAGATATTTCTTCTGAGATATAGAAGAAGAAAGGTAGGTCTTAAAACTCGACCTTTTCCTTAGGACGGATGGAAGAAATACATTTGATGTGATGTCAACCCCGATGGTTTGGTGAAGCTGCCTGCAGTACTGTTTTGAGAAATATTCCAAAGTTACATCCAAGCTCAGTGGGAAAACATGCTGATTAGTGATGTCTGCCATGGATGCCAGAGAGTCGCAGCTGATGAGCCATTTACCACCAGCCACGCTGGGGGACAGTGATTATCAAACCTTCTAAACTGATCCGTAGAAAGAAAAACATTTAACATTGTGGTCTAGTGACCACAAACAAAGATAACTCTACAAATACATGTGTATACACATGTACATAATATACAATTAAAACAAGCTTCATAAACCATATTTATTACCTTTACTGAATATGATAAAGTGTCCTACCCAACCCCCCCCCGGAAGTCAGGCTAGAAAAGCCTGTGGCACCCTTCTTGGAATAATATTTTTAAACAGATAAAGTACATCAGATTACAAAAGAAACCAATTATAATAAAATCCAGTTATCAAATATTAAATAAATTTGTGTTTCAGTAACGTACTTCTTTATTAATGCACTAAATAACAAGACCTCTTGGCAGATCTAATAAGTACTGTAATTTTGAAAGAGAGATGAGTGTAAGTGGCATTTTGAGAGATTTGCAGTAGCTGTAGTGATAGGAAGAGATCTGTAATTTTCATTGTTGCCTAAGTCACAGGAGTTATTAATCACTACTGTAATTCGTGGCCTCCTGACATTTGCAATTGAGGGCAATGCTAAATTGCTGTTGAGGTTAGTAAAATAAAGACGGCATTTCTTCCCCACTCCCAGCTTACGTATTCTTTGCGTTCTATACACAGACAGCTTGAGTTCTATACACAGATGAGTGGGTGGTGGTCTGTGGACCCCAGTTTAAAAATCCCTGACCTAGAGCAACCTCATTTTGGTACAGCTACCAAAGGTTATGTCTGGAAGTTGCCTTGTGCTGTAGCCCTCCCTCTCCCACAAAGAGGTCCTAAGGTTACCTGCCCGGTTGATCTTGGACGGCAGCATAGGAGCATTAAGCACTTCATCTTCATCCTGCTCATCAATGACCTTACACTGACGCAGGTAGGGCGTGAGCTTGGCGGGGTTGATGTAGCGGCTGAGCATGTGCCGGTTACACTCCACATTCTCCCACAAGGCGTCCTCTTCATCCTTCAGTGTCTCCATGTAGTCATCCATCTCTGGCCCTCCTCCTTTTAGACATAAACCCCAACAAGCTTAATAAAAGAGTCTCACCGGAACAGCTGTATAAACTCCTCTGGAGTGATCTCTAGAATATATTAAGTTAAAAAAAAGTCCCGTACAGTAAAGTATATATGGCATTTTACCTTTTATCTAAGAAAGGGGGTATGAATATAAAAATATGTATTTCCTTATATACTAAACATAAACAATGGAAGTTTAAGCCATAAAATTTTTAAAAGATTATTTATAGGGCAGAGAGGGAAAATCCTGCGGTTGCAGTCTACCCTTTCCATCCAAGTTTTTATGTCTTACTAAAAATGTATAGTTCCCTAAACAATATATGCTATTGGTTTTTGTTTTAAAATTTCACATAAATGGTGTCATACTGTATATTTCCTTTTTCAACATGTTTTTCTCCCTCTACATTTTTTTTTTGAGATTTATCTAGGTGGATACATACAGATCTAAGTCATTCATTTTTAAAAACAGCTTTATTGTGATATAATTCACATACTATACAAGTTAACTTTTTAATATGTTCAATTCAGTGATTTTAGTATATTCATAGAATTGTGCAACCACCACCACAATCAATTTAAAAACATTTCCATCATTTCAAAAAGAAGCTCCTCACCCTTTATTAGCCACTCTCAATTTCCCTCTAATCCCTGCCCCTCCACCCCGTGTAACTACTCATTCACCTTCTGTCTGTATAGATTTGCCTTTTCTGTACATTTTATACAAGTGAAATCCTACAATTTATGGTCTTTCATGGCTGGCTTCTTTCGCTTAGCAACTTTTCAAGGTTTGTTCCTGTTGTAGCATGTATCAGGACTTCATTTATTTGAAATTGCTCAGTGATTTTTTCATTGCATGGACACACCACATTTTGCTTGTCTGTTCATTCACTAATGGACATTTGAGTTTCTGCCTTTTGTCTATTATGAACAATGCTGCTATGAACGTTCATATACCAGTTTTTGTGTGACTGTATGTTTTTATTTCCCTTGGGTAGATACATAGGAGTGGATTGTTAGGCCATATGGCAACTCTATATTTAACATTTTGAGGAACTGCCAAACTGTTTTCCAAAGCAGCTGCATCATTTTACATTGCCACCAGCAAGCCATGAGGGTTTTAATTCCTCCATATTCTTGCTAACACTTGTTATTGTCTGCCTTTTTTTATTACAGCTCTCCTACTGAGTGTGAAGTAGCATCTCATTGTGGTTTTGATTTGCATTTCCCTAATGACTAACGATGTTGAACATCTTTTCATGTGCATATTGGCCATTTGTGCATTGAGAAATGTCTATTCAAATCCTTTGCCCATTTTAAAATTGTGTTGTTTGTCTTTTTATTATTGAGTTGTAGGATTTTGTTATGTATTCTGGATGCAAGCCACTTATCAGATATATGACTTGCAAATATTTCTCTCATTCTGTCAGTTGTCTTCCCTTTCTTAAAAGCATTGTTTGTAGCATAAAACTTTTAAATTTTGAGGTAATTTATTTTTTTCTTTTTTTCACTTGTGCTCTTGGCATGTATCTAAAACACCATTGTCTAATTCAAGATGATGAAGGTTTACTCCTGTTTTTTTCCTTTGAATATTATACCTTAGTTCTTACGTTGAGGATGATCCATTTTGAGTTAATTTTTGTGTATGGTGTGAGGTAGGTGTCCAACTGCATTCTTTTGTGTGTGGATGTCCAGTTGTCCAAGCACAGTTTGTTTGAAAAGACTATTCTTTCCCCATTGAATGATTTTGCTACCCTTGTTGACAATCAACTGACCATAAAAGTAAACATTTGTTTTTGCACTATTGATTCTATTCCATTGATCTATATGTGTATCCTTATGACAGTACTACATTGTCTTGATTATTGAAGATTTGTAGATTTGTAGTAGGCCTTGAAATTGGGAAGTATGAGTCTCCCAAACTTGTTCTTTTTCAAGATTGTTTTGGCTATTAGGTGCCTTTTACAACTCTTACGGATTTTGGGATTAGGATGTCAATTTGTGCAAAAAAATGCAGTTGGTATTTTGGTAGTGAATCTGCTGAATATCTAGATCAATTTGGGGAGTACTGCTACCTAACAATATTGAATCTTCTGATCTGTGAACATGGGGATGTCTTTCTTTAAATCTTCTTTAATTTCTTTCAGCAATGTTTCATAGTTCTCAGTGTACAAATCTTGCACTTCTTTTGTTAAATATATTCCTAAGTATTTCATTATGTTTGATGACATTATAAATGGGAGTTTTTTTCTTAATTTCATTTGTGGAATATTCATTGCTGGTCTATAGATATATAATTTATTTTTGTATATTGACCTCGTATTCTGCAACCTTGTGAAATCATTTATTAGTTCTCATAATTTGTTAGAGACACCTTATGATATCCTATATATAAGATCACGTCATTTGCAGATAAAGATAGTTTTACTTCTGTTTTTCCAATCTGGGTGCCTTTTATTTTTCTTCCTTGCCTAATTGCTCTGGCTAAAATACCTCCAGTACTATGTTAGATAGAAGTGTTGACAGCAGGAATCCTTGTTTTGTTACTGATGTTAGCAGACAGCATCCAGTCTTTCACTGTCAAGTATGACATTAGCTGTAGGCTTTTGCTTTTGCTTTTAAAATAGATGTCCTTTATCAGGTTGAGGAAGTTTTCTTACCTTCTTGGTTTATTGAATGTTTTTACCCCGAAAGCGTTCTTAATTTTGTCAGATGCTTTTTCTGCATTTATTGAGGCTGCCGTGTGGTTTTTGTTTTTTATTCTATCGATATGGTTACACTACCTGACTTTCAGCTGTTAAACCAACCTTATATTCCTGGCATAAATCCCATGTGGTCATGGTATATAATTCTTTTTATATGTTGCTGGATTTAATTAGCCAGTTTTTAAAAATAGGATTTTTGCATTCATATTCATAGGAGATATTGGTCTGTAGTTTTCTTTTCCTGTGATGTCATTGTCTGGTTTTGATATCAGGGTATATCAGGGTATTTCTTTTCCTGTGATGTCATTGTCTGGTTTTGATATTGGCCTCAGAATGATTTAGGAAGTGTTGCTTCCTCTCCTGCTTTTTGGAAGCGGCTTTTAAGAATTGGTATTAATTTTTCTTTTGTTTGGTAGAACTTACAAGTGAAGACAGCTGGGCATGGGTTTTTCTTTGTAGATTATTTTTACAAATTCAGCCTCCTTACTTATTACAGGTCTGTTCATATTTTCTGTTTGTCTTGAGCCAGTTTCAGTAGTTTGTGTCTTTCTAGGAATTTGTCCACCATATTTAAGTTATCCAATTTATTGGCAGCAATTGTTCACAGTTCCCTTCATAATTCTTTTTATCTCTGTAAGTTCAGTTATAATTTCCCCCCTTTCATTTCTGATTCTAGTAATTTGCATCTTCTCTTATTTTGTTGATATATCAAAGAACCAACTTTTGGTTTCATTAATTCTCTGTATTCCTTTTCTATTCTCAGGTTCATTTTCTTCTACTCTAGTCTTGATTATTTCCTTTCTTTTCATTGCTTTAGGTTTAGTTAGCACTTCTTTTTCTACTTTTGTAAGAGAGGAGGTAAAATTGCCTTTGCAAAATTTGTAACAAAAATTCTGACAGTGAAAGAGATCTGACGTAACCAATTCCATCTTGCTTCTAACCTCCAAGCTGTCCTTGTTCATTCCTGGGCAGAGGCCAAACTGATTTTGGGAGGAACTTAGTTCATAGATTAATGTATTATTCTGCTGCTGTCAGATGGAGTGTACTATAGATGTCTGTTAGGTCTGATTTTTTTTTTTTGAGACAGAGCCTCTCTCTGTCACCCAGGCTGGAGTGCAGTGGTGCAGTCGTTACTCACTCCAGGTTCCACTTCCTGGCTTCCCGCCAGCGCGTCTGGCTAATTTTTGTATTTTTAGTAGAGACAGGGTTTCATCATGTTGGCCAGGATGGTCTCGAATTCCTGATCTCAAGTAATCCACCTGCGTTGGCCTCCCCAAATGCTGGGATTACACGTGTGAGCCACCAAGCCCGGCCAGGTCTGGTTTGTTTATAGTGTTGTGCAACTCTCTTATTTGTTGATCTTCTGCCTAGTTGTTCTATCCATTATTGAAAGTAGAGTAATAACGTCTTCAACTCTTTTTTTTTTGTGAGACAGAGTCTCACTCTGTCACCCAGGCTGGAGTGCAATGGCGTGATCTCGGCTCACTGCAACGTCTGCCTCCCGGGTTCAAGTGATTCTCCTGCCTCAGCCTCCCGAGTAGCTAGGATTACAGGCGCCTGTCACCACGCCTAGCTAATTTTGTATTTTTA